GAGAGAGAGAGAGAGAGCAGAATCGTCAGAATGTGTGATGTTGTATAGGCCGCGGATAGTAGTTTCAAAGGTGCGCAGAATGACGATCAATGTTGTCTCTGATTGTTTTTTTTGTGCTTTTGTAGTTATCAAGGGCTACCGATCAGATGGGATGAATACAGCGCATCAGCGGCAGGTTGATTGATTTACGACGTACCCACCAATTTGACGGATTGATTAGTTGATCGGCGTATCCCTGGCTTGATTGACTCATCGGTCGTTGCCTGATGGATTGATTGATGGACAGCATGATTGCGAAATTAGTTTGCTCTGTTGACGAACATCTCCTAGTTGAATGCCCCATCTTGAAATGGAAATCATGAAGTTCGGGTTTGCTTGCTTTGAATTTTGTTCACACACACACACACACACACACACACACACACACACACACACACACACATACACAAAGATACACACGTGTCCATAGACTTACAAGATGGGAAGAAGTGATGGCTTACCTCTAGCACCCTCTCTGTCTCCTGCGGTGAATCGCTGTCTAAAGTTATGGAGCTTGCCCGTTCTTGTTCGACCTTCTTACCAGTCAATGAATCAGTCAATCACTGTGCACGGATCACTTTCTCTGTCCTGCCGTGCACTTGTCAAGATGAGAATGATTACCGTTCCTGGTTGTGATCTTTAAAAAGAAGGAGGAGGAGGGNCGGATCACTTTCTCTGTCCTGCCGTGCACTTGTCAAGATGAGAATGATTACCGTTCCTGGTTGTGATCTTTAAAAAGAAGGAGGAGGAGGGTTGTGATCCTTGTCACGGAAGAAGATAAACAGACTGTGCAGCGCGCCAACGCATCCGTACGTGGCACCCGTTCATGCGCTGGGCTGCGCGGCAGCTGGTTTCAGTTCCTATGACACTCTCCTCCGTGGTCTAAGGCGTTACACGTGTCGAGGGACATCGGTTTCCTTTCGGAACCGAACCTGCAACGAGTGAGAGACCGTCAGAGAGAGAGAGAGAGAGAGACAAATGGCTTTCTTCACCGTTTCACAGCAGTTCGGAAGTTGCTCGGCGGAAGTGCCTGGTGCACTCGTTGTCTTCCTTCACCTTCCGGCACTGGGCAGACGTGATTGCTCGCTGACACCTTTGCATCTCTTCACATCGCCAAGATATCATGGCAATGTCAAGGCGCGGCGCCGAAATACCGTGCACTGCGCTTGCACTGTAAAGTGATACAGACACGTATACCACGGACGAGACAAAAATCATGGCGCTGTATCTTTCCACATATTCTACGGGAACATTCACTCTTTTTTTGCACATTTTGAGAGGCCCAAGCACAAGGACGCGTTTGCGGAAAAGTGCCTCCCGGACTACATGCACAAAGACTCTNCACTCTTTTTTTGCACATTTTGAGAGGCCCAAGCACAAGGACGCGTTTGCGGAAAAGTGCCTCCCGGACTACATGCACAAAGACTCTAGTGCCCCTCACTTCTTTTCGGGGTCTGCTTCCACCGGAGGACCGGTTCTTCCTTTTTCCAAAAGTCCCGGTTCTAGAAGAGCTAGCTGTAGGTAGTCCACAATTTTGGAAAGGACCGGTCCCCCCAATTTTTTTGTCCCCTAACAACCCACTTTGCGTCCTGGTCGCCCGCCGACGAAAATGCCACACCTTGACACAGACGCGGAAGCACACTATACCGCAGCCTTAGGGCTGCGAACTGTGAGCATTGCCTTAACGCATGCTCCTACACTCTGGGTTTTACTCGCCTGGCCTGGCCTGGCTTGGATTGCATTACGTCCTCAAGACTCCTGACTACTTGCGCATATGCCCCTGTGCGAATGCTCCTGAAGCTAAGGTACGCATCACGGTACGGAATCCCTAACGGCTCCAATAGCATTCCGTTAAGAACGCCTTAACGGCTGCTATACCATTCCGTCCACAACGCTTCTAACGGCTGCTATACCATTCCGTCCATTCCGTCAAGAATCCCTAACGGCTCCAATAGCATTCCGTCAAGAATCCCTAAGGGCTACAGCATTCCGTCAAGAGCTGGGAACGGTTCTTGACGGAATACTCGCCGTTAGAAGCACGCCGCAGTACTTGCCGCCGAATGCACAAAATGGGAATGAATCTTGCGCTAGAAGCATCCAAAAATTAATACACGTGTCTTCTATTCGAGGGTAGAAGGCGCCAACACAGATGCTGATTTATCCATCAGCCAGTTGGAAAATAAAGGGAAAAAAAAAAAAACTTGGGGAAGGGTTTTTATTTTTTTATTTTTTATTTTATTTACCCCACTCGAGAAATGGTCCAAATTAAAAAAAGAAAAAAAGAAAAAAAAAAAAGGCATGCGCACTCACACCAGGACATTCGGGGATGCATCTGACCGTAATTACGGCTCGAAAGGATGAATCTGACTGCAATGACGTCCCGAAACCACTCGATAACGTCCTCCCAGGCACTTTGAGAGCCAGGTGATTGGCAGTGGACCCGGGATTCTGACGAGATCGGGGTCGGGAGAGGGATTAGGCTTGGCTATCGGGATCGGAGGCTTCTCGTCTTGGGTCGCGGTAATCATACTGATTGAGATCCGTACCGTATCTTGGTAGATCTGGTCCTTGCCGGTTGCAGTTGACCGTTACACTGGCGAAAAGGCGGGGAAAGGCGGGAAAAGGCGGGAAAAGGCGGGAAAAGGAGGGAAGACGAGAGGGCGGGAAAAGGAGGGAAGAGGAAGGAATTTGAGAGGGCGGGAAAATGAGAGGAAAGCGCCAAAAGGCAAGAAGGCGGGAAGCTTCATCCTAGCTTGGCCTCAATGTGATCGGCGGCTGATTGAGTCAAACGCGGCTAAATATCAGTCAAACCACAATCTGCGGCTGATTCTCACAGTGAGGGCGTGCTCAAGCTAGAGGACATTTTTGACCGAATTGGGTCATGATTACGGTTACATACGTTAAAGGAAGTCTGGGTGTGCATTTTGCATTTCTGAGTGGATCAGACGAATTAATTAATGGCGGGATCAGTGGGCGGGGAGGGAGGGGTTGGGGGTTGTTGTTGTTGTTGGGGGGGGGGGGGGGGAGGGGGGGGGGGGGAGAGATGGATTCATGGATGAATGAATGGACGAATTGCGGCTGGGAGCAGAATGCATGCGCGAGGGGGATGGCAGGGAGTAGCATCCCTTGCACTGTTGGCCTGTATATTATAGATGGGTAATGGGTGCTTTAAGGGATGGAAGGGTGTTGATCGGATTAAGGGGGCTCAGTGGTGGGTGGATGGACCCATGGCTCTACTTTTGAACGCCGTGACATGGCTGCAGTGGTTGGGGCACTGAGCTGTTATTAAGCTTGAGGTCCCGGTTCGATTCCGTGCAGGGTTGGATCTCAGGAAAAAGACAGAATCAGGGGCATATACACTAGATGGGTGTAAATGGGTGGGGAAGGGTAATGGGGGTGGATGTGGTGGGCAGGAAGGGATGGATGGAGAGCAAGGGATGGATCGAGGCGGAGAATGGATAAACGAGTATAAGTGGTGGATGGACGGCGATTAATGGATGGATGGTATTTAATGATGGATGTGCTTTAATGGATGGTTGGGATGAATTCTCAAAGGTTGATGTCCCATCACCCATCAAGTCTTGGGTGGGATGGAGGGATTAATATTCATTTGAGCAGATTTGGATTATTAAGAACGTATGTGATTGCAGCTCCGATCACCCCCTGAAGTCAATCACCCAACCCTCCCTATCACTCACTCACTCACTCACTCACTCACTCACTCACTCAATCAATCAATCAATCAATCAATCAATCAGTCCAGGAAACAATGTCTGCCTGGAGGCTAACATGTGGACGGAGCATCTCTCTCTCTCTCTCTCTCTCTCTCTCTCTCTCTCTCTCTCTCTGTGTGTGTGTGTTTGTCTCAGTTTTGTGCGTGAGTGAATGNCTCTCTCTCTCTCTCTCTCTCTCTCTCTCTCTCTCTCTCTCTCTCTCTCTCTCTCTCTCTCTCTCTCTCTCTCTCTATCTGTGTGTGTGTGTGTGCGCGTGTGGTTGACCGAGCCCGCCAAATCTGACGGCGGCGATTCCTCGGTTGGGTCCTGCGTTAAGGGGGTATTGCAGAGTCATGGCCTAGCAGGAATGAATTGGAAATAAAAACCGACTGATGGGGGGCGTTGATTGGGTCAGGGCTCAGGCTTGTGTTTGTAATCATGGGGTTAGCAGAAGACTTACAGAAAAAGGAAGGAGGATCGCAAAGCATACCGAAGTTTGGAACAGGGAGAGAGGGCAAAAAAAGTAGAAAAAAAGAGAAAATCCCTTCCTCGATGAAGTCTACAGTGACCATCGCCCATTCATGGTCACAGCGGAAGATGGCCATAGTTACCTCCCTTCCTCCTATTTCCTCTTTCTCCTCCTACGCACACTCTCTCATCCTCCTCCGTCTTTCCTCCGCTTTCCTCTTCCTTCCTCTTCCTTCCTTCCTCCCTTCCTTACTTTCTCCCCTCCCTTTTTTTGCCTCCCTCTTCCTCCTGTCGCTCCTCCTCCTCTTCTTCCTTTTCTTCCTATTCTTCCTCTTCGCCCGTTTCTTCCCCTTTCTTATCTTCCCTATCTTTTCTTCTTCCCTTTTCCTCCCTCTTCCTCTTCTTCCCTCTTCCTCCTCTTCCTCCTCTTCCTCCTCTTCCTCCTCTTCCTCCTCTTCCTCCTCTTCTGCCTCCCTCTTCCTCCTCCTCTTCCGCCTCCCTCTTCTTCCTCCTCTTCCGCCCTCCCTCTTCCTCCTCCCTTTTCACCTCCCTCTTCCTCTTCTTCCTCCTCTTCCGCCCTCCCTCTTCCTCCTCCCTTTTCTCCTCTCTCCCCCTCCTCTTTCCTCCTCCTTGCGTGCCTGGCTTTAACAACCCACACCCCGCTTTTGCCCCCTGCACACTACATCCTACCTTGTGGTAGCCTGCCTGCTTATCATTCCCCCCCTGTTAAACCCTAAACCCTAATCCCCAAGCCCTAATCCCTAAACCCTAAACCCTAAGCCCTAAACCCTAAGCCCTAAACCCTAAGCCCTAAGCCCTAAGCCCTAAACACACAGTACTGGTTCAAATGCGTGGTCGAGTGCGAGCTTTCCATCTGCTGAGGATTCGAGTCCTCTGTCGGGCAACCAATGGGACATCAGGTTCCCGCCAGATCATATCATATCATCATGGGTTTTGCCGCCGCGGTACAGACTGAAAGAAGGAAAGAAAGGAAGGAAGGAGCAAAACGACAAAAAAAATAAAGATAGGACTGGAAGAAAAGAGAGAACAAAAGAACCTCCTCCCCCCAAAAAAAGTATCTCGATTGTGGTCTTCTGCTTGTGTTGCCATGCCTGGAATCCCTTGATTGTTCTTTGTTAATTAATCAATTTAGTTTGAATCGAAATTAAATTTAATTTAATTAATTTAATTGATTGTCAGAGAAAATAAATTCCTCTCTGTATCCGATGTATCGTGATGAATTGCTTGTCAGCCAAGGGTGTATCAACTAAAATTTAATTCCTCTTAAGGGCGTGGGGCGTAAAGTGGGGGGAGGGGGGGGTGGGGTGGGGTGGGGGGGATGCAGGGAGGGGGAATAAGCAAATACATTTATAAATAAAATTGTCCTTATACCAACGGGCCTAGCTCAGTTGATACACCCTTGGAACTGTTGAAATACAGACTCAAGTTCGAATCCAGACACCTTCATCAGAGGGAGAGAAGAAAATCATATCATCATTTCTGAATTGCCTTGGGGCCAGTCAATTCAATGATGATATCTAAACTTCTAAAGGCCGTCGCGCTTTAAAAAGCAAGCAAGCAAGAAAGAAAGAAAGAAAGAAAGAAAGAAAACGCAAAAAGCGTCTGAGAGAAGAACGTAGTGTAGTTAAAAAAAAAAAAAAAAAAAAAAAAAAAACTCCTTAAATCTTCCTAACTTTGTCGTTTTCTGTCATCAGGGGATCTGCCAATGGCGAGTATGAGTGATCAGCGGAGAGACTACTGTCTGTTGTCTGCCCGTCGAAGTGAGGCATGCTCTTGGATTGATTATGTATGGAGTGCTGTAATCTGCTGCGCGCCACATTGCTGACGTGTCTTCCTCCTTATCTACCGATCAAGAGCGGAAGAAAGACGGCAAAGCACGATGGCAACGAGGGGGGTAGGGGGGGAAAAAAAGAAAAAAACCTGTGGTGGGTTTTCAGACCCGATGACGATGACAACAGTTTCATCGTAATGCGCGAAGTGTGGCAGCCATACACGACTGTCTTATCCGGACAAAATTATCCGACACGTTTGACACACTGAGCTTTTTTTTTTTGTCGAGAGTGCTGGGAGGGCCCGTGACTTGAGGAGCTCATCTCGCTTGATTGGCATGAGCATAAGCTTGTTATTCTTTCTTTCTTGCTTGCTGACGTGGATGCTCTGACATTTGACACGTGGCGTTGCCAGAGAGTACCGATATGGCAAGCGAAAAATTGATCAGCTGATCGCTCGATGATACGCACACAACTTATATTCCTTCTTGCTGACGTGGATGCTCTCTGACATTTGACACGTGGCGTTGCCAGAGAGTCCTGATGTGGCAAGCAAAAATTTGATCAGCTGATCGCTCGACACACACACGCACACACACACACACACACACACACACACACACACACACACACACACACACAGAGCTTATATTCTTTCTTGCTGACGTGGCACAACTCTGACCGTCCGTTTAGATCGTGTAACCTTGCGAGATTGCAATGGTTCGTTGCGTAGCCCTTGCCATCCGTGGAACCACCCTGACTGTCCGTTTTATCATCATGATCCTCCGCTGCATGCACTGAGCTGGTGGACTGCATCCAACTCTATCCGCTTCTTCCATGGGCCATGATGCTGGGCAGGGGCCACGTGTCCTCGAGTCCTGCTGACGTGTCTTATCCGATTTTGACAGCCAGCGGCCATCTGGCGATGCTTCTACTCAAGTGGTGGAAAGACGTGGGATGATGCAGTCCACGTGGCAATCCGCGAGGGGACGGCGATGCGGGGGTTCGTGGGTGCCAGTCAGGGCAGGCTATGCTCACACTACCGTCTTCCCCCGAACATAACGCACCCTGATAATGAATGCATACAGACGATCTTTCCGTCCAGACAGTCAAAACTACGGTGCGTTGTGTCCGGGGGAAGACGGTAGTAGGACTTTTCTACTACGCTGTGGACGTGATTGACGTCAGATTCAGTCACGTCTGACTTCCGTAATGGCGGTCAGGTAGATTTCTAGAAAAGTCGCACGGGTTTTCACCCGAATACAACGTACGGTCATTATTTGCGGTATCCGGATCCGGACTCGAAGTTGCCCCAAAAATACAGCTATGATAACCGTGCATTGGTACTGTGAGCATGGCCTCAGATGAAGCGAAACTGGACTGGATTAAGTTACGGATAAGATCAGGTTTGTGATGAACCAGAAGATAGTGCACGTGAATTTGGGAGAGGTCCAAAGAGGAGGACATTAGATGATGACGTTTCAGGCCTAAGTCCGCCACCAGACGTAGAGAGAAGGACATCCGATGATATGACGTTTGTTCAGGTCTAAGTTTTCGAGGGGTAGAGAGGAGGACCACCGCCTTTTTTTTTTTTTTTTTTTTTTTTTTTTTTTTTCGCATAGCTAAATGCCCTGAAAATTTACAAATGTGTACTTCACATAATACAAAACCCACTAAAAAAGTTTCAAAAAATAATAAAATTGTTTAGACCGCGAACTAAAGTGAAAACAAAAAGTAAAAAGTGAAACAATACGTGGGCGAGAGCACGTTTTGACATCGCCATCTTTGGCGATTTTTAATTCTTATTTGGCTTTGCCAAATGACTTGAAA